AATACAGATCTCCATCTTTGAGGGTTTTTTTTCCAAGGTTCTAATGATGTTTGACTGGGTTATTACATGCAATAGCCGAGGGGTTTTGAAGCCAACCAAAAATCACAAGGCTAAGAGACTAAACGTTAATTAATCACCAGATTTTTTTGCATGATTTTTCTCTCTGTTTGCACAATTTTCCAGATTTGTAGTTGCGTTGACAACACTTTCCAATTCTCTAGCTTTTGATATCTTAACAAAATCAAATTTTCTCTTCGCAATTGTCGACCAGAAAGTAACTAAATCGTCGAACACACTTTTCATCTCGAAGAGTCTCTCTTTTTTTTTTACCAGTTGAACGATGTTACGCTGTCAAACCAAACCATTCATAATTGCTATTGATCCGTCAAGATATCCTTTCCTCTTACCACTCACCGCCAAAATCGACTCAATTTTCGTAGCTCTTTGGTAGGCTATTGATTCTCTTATCGTACGTACCGCTAAATAACTTCACATTACTCTTCGTCTGAGTGCTAAGTAACCTGCTTCTACATAGCTTAAATGCTCTGTCTAATTTCTGCGCAGCAATGTTCATTAATGCAAGTCAGATGTATTTAATGCCTAGGGAATGAAATTACTTGTAATAGAACTTAATTGATCAGCATAAGTACTAAAGTGCTAAGGGCCAATACATGAGACGACCATATTAGGTGTTCTTTAGTACTGTTTCTTGTCTTGAAGATTTGAAAATGATGGCGGCAGTCTACTGGGGGTTGAAAGTCATTGAATTGACGTGGGACATAATGAATCTTTTGGATTTTTCCAGCCCGGCTTTCACTTGTCATGGGTGGCATCCCTGTGAGCCATGGAAATTGTTCCTAGCTGTTCAGATGATTCAACAAACCGAGATCCACCCCGAATACACAAAACTAATAATCACAACACCCGTGGACTAGCCATTGTAACTCTTTTAGACTTTTAGAAATCACATTTAATGACGAGTTATTTCTGGCGGACTTGAGATGACTGGATTATCCATCAGGTACACATGTAGGACAACTGGGCAGACGGTCATGGACAATGTGTTGGGTACCTGTATTTATCTGCTTCCCCCGAAGTGTCTACGTCAGTTCGTTTGCATTGCTTAACGTCTGCTTACTCTGAGGGGGATTTTGCAGACCAAGTAGTGTTTACTTGTGACATCACATCACGCGTCATCAATCATTGACTTGAGGACGCATGCATTCTTTACGTAACATCAACTGGTCCAGACAGAATGGTGCCTTTTACTCATTTTCTATAACAATTTACAGTAAATAAGAAATATTTTTTTATCCAGATATACTTATTTATTTTTCTAATACTTCCAAAGAAATGTCTAGAATTTAATTTGTGCAGATTGAAAAAAGTTAATATCACGAGCTCATTCAGCCACACCGATGTCGTCTCTTTCAGTAATTGTAGCGCCCTAGCGAATATTCACTGCTCATCAGTGTGGTAGTGTCTATCAAATTTCTATTCCTTTAGGGCCAGGACGGATTAAGACCTTAAGAGGCCCTAATCACTGAAAAGATAATAAAACCTTCATTTATATCAAATTTTAAAAAAAATAATCCTTGGCCTAAAATAATTTTTTTAAAAATATGATGCTTATCCTAAAATAAATTATATGAAATGAAATGGGGGATTAAAGGGACAATAACACTATTGCTGGCTTGACAGCTCCAGAAAATAAATAATAGCCTTATTCTAAGTACTAGATGTTTAAGTGTCCTACCTGTTGTGTAAATTATCAATTACATCCTATTTTACTTGTCCAGAGGGTTCGAAAATATTTTAAATCCATGTCACATTTGAAAAGGTTTACGTTAGGCTTTTCAAATCATTTAGTTGAATTTTTCCAATTTTTTAAATTCGGTGTGTTAAGATGAAATTTGTATCATCAATTAATTGGAATATTGTAAAATAGTACAATTTTTTGACCAGAATAAAGATTGGGACATATTATTCTGTTACAACAAGAGTGATATTGAGCCTTTAACATTCTAATGTTCAGCACCAACTGGTATAATGAAGACCGGCATACGCCATGCAGTGTATTATGAGGGAAATTTTGCCCGGGCAGCAGCTTTTCTGTCTAATAGTAAACATGATTTTTCTGTCATTGTGGCCACTGGTTCAGCTATACCATTTGCACCATGGTAAATCAAGCAGAGGATAAAAAGTTCTGGTGCCCCCCCCCCCCAAAAAAAACCCCAACTTTCTCTGTACCATAAATATGTGTTTATATTGCTTAATGATTAATGGAAGACTGGATGTGGGGAAGCCCTGATTATCTTTCTTAAATGTTGCTATGTTAAAGTATCCATTACTACTGGTTACTGTGTCTTGTTGTAAGAAAACCAGACATTTTATTGAACGAACAAAAAAAAAACTTGACAAATTATTTCATTTGATTTATTGGTTGAAGGGGAAAATGGCTGTTACCAGACACTTTTATTATTGGAGAAGTTTTGTAATTTTGTCTGTTCTTTTATTGAATTTGTAAAACAAAGTACAGGAAATTTACATGATCAAATGAATTGAAGTTGTATGTTAAATTGTGTTTCCTTTTGGTCAATTTACGATTTACATCGCTGCTCTTTTATAGAGACTGTGTTTAAGAGAGAGAGAGAGGGAGAGAGAGAGAGGCGGTAAACATCCTCTTAACATAAACTAGGCCATTTCGAGACTAACACATTTTGCAATTTTGTTTGACTAATATCGCTTTTGCTAATTAGTGTTCTTTAGCTGTGGGAGGAAACTGGAGTACCCAGAGGAAACCCAAAAGGTTAGGCAGACAACCCTACTCCTCTTCATGTACCAGCTTTGGCATGAAACCACAACATTGACTCAGTGATAGACTTTATGATTATTCCTTTTGATGACTGATTCTAATGCAATGTGTACTCTTACAGCCAGGCAAAGATTAGTAATTCTCTTTTGAAGTCTGTGTGCGTCATTTGCATTATTAGAGATAAATACCAAACTATAAAAGATTTAATCCACTCTAACATGGGCTCAAATTAATTATTTAACATTATTCCATTATTCAATTATGTCTGTAGTTTTGTAATCAGAGTTTAGCTTTAAGAAATTAAAACATCAATGGCAGATAATTTTCTAGCTTCGATTCAATTGGATTAAAAAGAGACTCGTGAAAAGATTTTATCAAAAGTTAAGGGAGGGATCATATCTCATAAACCATTCAAGATATCTTTGTACACACATCAACCTATTAAAGTAGTTGTATCTTTTGCTAATTAGAAATTTCTCTCTGATTTAATAATTTTTGTGTTTCCATGGAAACAAGTTTGAGTAAAAGGGTACAGCAGTCCTCACTGCTATACTGACAAGTTTGTAAAAGATACATCCTGAATCAAACTATCACCAAATGTGTGTATGTGCTTGAAAACTACTTGTCAAAAGATTGTCTTCCATATAAATTGTGTTGTGTTTTTTTTATGTGCTCAATCGCTAAATGTTACTCAAGGATTATGTTTAATAGAGTTGTATAGTCAAATCTTGTATAGTGCATAAGTCTTATTGTGAAACGATGGTGACCAAATCACCTAATGTATTTTACAATTAGACATGTCCATTTATTATACGCCAATATAACAATAGACATTTTTTATACACCTGTGTATACCAGTAGACATTCATTCGGCTATATACCGGTAGACATTTTTATACGCCCATATACCGGTAGACATTTTTATACGCCCATATACCGGTAGACATTTTTTATATGCCCATATACCGGTAGACATTTTTTATACGCTCATATACCGGTAGACATTTTTTATACGCCCATATACCGGTAGACATTTTTTATACGCCCATATACCGTAGACATTTTTTATATGCCCATATACCGCTAGACATTTTTTATACGCCCATATACCGGTAGACATTTTTTATACGCCCATATACCGTAGACATTTTTTATATGCCCATATACCGGTAGACATTTTTTATACGCCCATATATACCGGCAATCTGATTAAAATACAGATCTATATTTCGTTTCGTTTTTTTATACTTTCGAAGGCCTCCACTACATGAAGATCTGACAAGTTATAGCGATAGGTCACGTCAGGGGTAAAAAGACCAACTTCTAACCCTATGACGTCAGACATTTGATTAACCAATTAGCATTGATGTTACTAGTGAATTACCCACAGTTCCATAAAAAAAAACACGCCTAAAGCTTGCCGTAACAGACCGTTTCATTGGCTTATCCCTGACACCATTCAGAACATGTGTTAAATAATAACTCTTCCAGATCCAAGTGTAGTAAAGACAAGTAAAATGAAATTTTGAACTATAAAAACGAAACGAAATAGGATCTGTGTTTTAACCAGATTGATACACCGGTAGACATTTTTTATAAACCCACATACCAGTAGACATTTTTATACACCCATATGCCAGTAGACATCTTTTATACGTCTGTGTATACCAGTAGACATTCATTCTCCTATATACCGGTAGACATTTTCATTTTCATATGCCCATCTACCGGTAGGCATTTTTATACTCCCATATACCAGTAGATGTTGTCATTTTTTATACGCCCGCATAGAAATGTGGTTGTATATTGTTGTCATCCCTGTCCATCCATCGTCCACAATTGTTTGTTGACACTCAGAGGCTAAAGTTATCATCTGATAGACTTGAAATAATATACAATGTGATGAAGAAGCCTATTGATAATTACTGCTAGAAGGTTGGTCTGTGAGAATGTGTGGAAACTTGTGGATGTTCTAAAAAGCTAAAGTTATCATCAGATGGACTTGAAATTCAAAAACAGTGTTTACGTTAATTATTACGTTTTAGTATCTCATAATAAAAGATCGGCAACCTTAATGGACAACTCACATGACTTAACTGATCTTAGATTATGTTTTTGTTGTCTGGCAACCTATCGTTTAGTTTTTATACGTTATTCTAAGGATTCGTTCTTTTTCTCTTTTCAGCGAGCCTATAAAGAATGGTTGTGTGCAACTCAGTTATCATTTTACTACTCGGGGAAGCGTATGTTGCCCTGTGACAGTTTCTGCACGCGGATAGAACAAATGTGCCCTTTCTTTCGTCCAAGAAACATAGATACTCACACAGGAGATCCTGGTTTTATATGCAAAGGTGAGACAATTGGTTTTATTATTCTGTCTGTCTGTTTTTGGTTTTTAACGTTCGCTTCCACCAAAGGGGATATCGCAAACAAGTCTTATTTTTCATTTTTATTATCTTAGCGCATGCGCAGGGGTCTCTCCAGCCACATACGCTTACACCAGGGATCGAAACCACAACCGCAAGCCAGAGGTGACCAGCCAGCTAGAGGTTGAAGCGCGGCACTCTAGACCACTAGGCCGTCCCATTTTTATACCTCAACAGTTTAAAGAAGTAAAAGTGTTAGTGATTTAAGAAAAAACAACCACATCCAGTTAAACATATTATACTGTTGTCCTCTACAAACTGATTCAATCTTACAAAACTCCACATTTCTCAAATACAATGTTTGAAAAATCTAATTCTGAAATTAGTTGGCTACCAGAGTAATGTAAGTTTTCAATAGGTGTAGTTTAAGTGAATTATTGTGACATTGACAATGGACATTATTTAAATATTTAAGTAGGCTACTGTAGTTTAAGGTAGTAAAATTTCAACAGGTAAATTGATATACATGTTCAACAGTTAGTATAATAAAAACCTGATAAATAACAACAAGATATTCTGACTTGCTTCAACTTATTGGGGGTTGGATGGCCGAATGGTTAGCAAGTGCGCGCTGTTGAGTCAAGTTTCAATCCTAAGCTTGTGTATGACAAGGAGTAGGGTAGCTTGGCCAACATCATGGGTTTTCTCTGGGGCCTCCGGTCTCCTCCCACTGCTAAAAACGCCTATGCGCAAGCAAATTATTGAAATAAAATTGTACCATATGTTAGTCCCAAAATGAGCTGGTTTGTGTCAAGTGTGTATCAGGTTGACAAGATATTAAGACTACATTCTGTTCCATTCATACATGCAGTTGTGCTGGTTTAAAAGCTATAAACACTGTAATTAGTTTAAAGACCAAGAATAATATTCCTGGAAATGACAGGAGGTTATTATAGTCTAATTCAATATGTAAATTATACCATGCCTGACTCATGAAGTGTGCTTGTTTCAGTTTGTTGGGTTTTTTTGTACACAACAAACCACTCTACTTGAATCTGAAGTCGAGTTGTATCAGGATGGATTTCAGTTCATCCCGTCACCGAATATTATCCCCTAAAATTTTATTAAAGATTTGGAATTTTGTAATTGAACTGGAATATACAAAACATTATTTTATGGAATACAATTACGGTTTATTACGGAGCGACGTTTCGATTAGGTTTCTCTAGTCATTATCCATCAATTACTGCTTATTACTGAGCAATGTTTTCTTGATAAAGACAAGAGTATCCTTGTTGAAACGAGTGGGGGGTGGGGGGTGCTTGGCTGTATCATAAGGTCTGTCTGTGGTTTCGATTACCCACTTGTACATGACAACGAGTATGGTCGCTTGTCCTTCCTCATGGGTTTTCTCCGGGTCCTCCGGTTTCCTCTCACTGCTAAAGACCCCTACGCGCTTGGGAATTATTGAAATAAAATTGAACTGTATGTTAGTCACGATATGATCTAGTTTGTGTCGAGTGGACATTAAACCCCATTTCGCTCTTTCTCTCTCTCTCTTGTTGAAACAACGCTCAGTAATAAACAGTAAACGAGGATGCTTGTGTGCAATAAGGTGGATAAGTGCCATTCACACAATCTGCCAAAAAATAGTTTTTTTGAATATTTTTAAACCACAACACTAAAGTTGACATATATACTGTGATAAAAATGAACAATGGATTTATTTGAAAAAATCCAACGATCTTATTTAAAAACAACGGCAATTGTCCACCTTATTGCACTAGCATCTTCAATTGTCATGTCTTATAAGTGGAATACTATGGTGAGGGTAATTGTGCTGTCGAAACCATGTCACCTGACTCAATAAAAGACCCTTATCTAAAACATACAACATGGTTTCCGTTTGTCAGTGGTGCAGGACGGAGAGCCTGACAAGGACAGCTGACTAGTCGTTAGGATGGGACAAATAAACGAGGTCCCATGTACACATTGGCGTGCACGTAAAAGAGCCCTTGGCAGTTGGAATTCGATATAAGAGTAGGCCATAGTGCCGCGGCCTGGGCTAAATTTTCCTCATAGCACACTGTATAGGAGCAGAACATTAGGACGTTAACGCCCATTTCATTTCATTTCTAAAACATACACTTTAGTCCACTCAACCACCCAACCCATGAGTGGAAATGAAATGAAATGGGCTTTAACCTCTTACTTTTCTGCACGAACTGGGCTAATGAAGATGGCCATACACCATATAGTGTGCTATGAGAGAAATTTTTCCCAGTCAATTCTTATTTTCGAGAGAGAAATGGGGTTTAACGTCCACTCGACACAAACTAGGTCATTTCGGGACTAATATATGGTTTAATTTTATTTCAATAATTCGCTTGCGCGTAGGGGTCTTTAGCAATGGGAGGAAACCGGAGGACCCAGAGAAAACCCACGAGGCTGGACAGACGACTCTACTCCTTGTCACGTACAACCGGGGATTCGAAACCATGCCAGTTGACTCAATGACAGACCTTGTGATACAGCACGCACGTGCTAACCATTCGGCCATCCAACCACCCGCCCGTTAATACAGGGATCGACCCTGGACCTTCTGTCACTGTAACCCGGGTAACATTTACTTGTGTATCTACCTTTAATTTCTTTCACATTCATTTAATATCAAATCTTTGTTTAAAAATTGGTAAAAATCATTTAAATCACACCAAATCATCCAATTTGTACTTGTGTCCAGTTTAAAGCTTACTGATTAATTTTGATAAGGAGTTTCCAATTTACAAGTATTTAATTTCCTGACCACTGTTCAAAAATTAATCTTGTTAATTGGGCACTCATTATCACAATTGAATGGTAAGTTTTAAACTGGACACAAGTACAAATTAGGTGATTTTAAATGATTTTTATGAATTTTTAACCAAAGATTTGATATTAAATGAATCATAATGTGAAATAAATTAGTGATTAATACACAAGATTAAATGATACCCAGGTTACAGTGTGTTTAATGAGCCAGCACTCTGAGTCACCAATGGCCCCTTTTGAGTCCAGTGGTGGACAGATGTGGAGCCCCATTCTGTTGCACTGTATATATCACTGACTTGTTTTAAATTTATTTTTAAATATATTGTTTTCTCATTTCAGACAAAGACATCAGTACTGATGCCCGATTTACAAAATACGGCAGTGAGCCTTATTGCTACAAGCTGTGTCACCTAATAGATGTTAAAGAAGAATTTGGCAATGACTCTGACTCCAAATGTCACAAATTAAAGCCCATACCAAACGTGACAAACATACCACATAGCACTTCCAGCTCTCAAATAAAGCATTCGTTCGCACTCGGGGACCTTGTACACATGTTAGCTTTCGTGTGGACGATACGCACCATTTTACAAATTTCTGATATAGGATTAACATAGTGAAATGTACAGTAGTGCTTAGGTATGCTTCTTTTAATGCTGTATAATGTGATATAAGTGACAAACCGAAAGTAGAGATGGGGAATCGGGGATAGCAGATGAACAGATCTAATTGTATGTATGTTTAATGGGTGGAAGCCAAAAAAAATCAACACGTAAAATGAAGTCAGAAATGAGAACGGCGCCAACTGTCTTGTTTCTTGGATTAATACGCCAAGGAGTGTGTTCCAGTGAACGATAGTGATGACCTATTTAAATATTTCGTGATATCTCAGGCGCTTTAACCCTTGGTACTTCCTGTGCTCATAGTTAATGGAAGAAGCCAATCATTATTGGATATGGTGACCCCAGGGTCATGACCCCAAAGGTCATTAGTCAAAGTTAATTTTTACTTGTATACTTATATGGACCACAGCTCAAAATTAGCTCAAATGAAAACATCCAAGCAATCACATGATATTACTACGAAATATTGAAGTTGGATATTTGTTAATTATAGTGATATCAAGTCTTAATGAAAGTGACAGGAAATGCGAAGGTCGATCGTAAAAGGAAGAATGAAAAATGGCTGATCCAGAGAAATTTATGAAAAAAAAAAAAGAAATAGATTTGTTTAGTTCTTGTGAATCAGTATTTCTCTTTAGTTTTAGATGATAATTGATCATTAGTTGTTTTTTGCCCCGAACTTATCCCTTTTTATTACTCACCCACATTTTCATGTTATTTAATTTTTTTAAATTCATTGTTAATTTGTTAAACCTCTGAAAAAACTATTAAAATGGATTATAAAAACTATGGACTAAATTAAACAATACGTAAACCTAAATAGCAGTGCCATAGTGAGGTGGAGGGTAGAGTTGTGTGCCCCTAGGTGACAACTTTCTACATGGAGGCACGCCGGTGTTGAACAGATTTAACAATTTTCTAAATTTTCATAAAAATAGCAATTCTGTTATTAATTTATAAAACCAGCCACGTCCAATTCTGTGCATATTACAGCCAGACCGTATCTTACAAATCTCTGTATTTCTCAATGTTTGAAATCTTTAATTGTTAAATTGGTTGGGCACCGGAATGGTTAGATCTATTTGATAAGGCCAACTGAAGTGTTTGGTCAAAGGTCATGAAATGTAAACAGGGCTAGCGCTAATCCCAACCCTAACTCTAACCCTGGACCTATTCCCAATGCCTACCCTAACCCTAACCTTCAATCTTTCCAAGAATCATGTGCCCTAAACCTATTTACATCTTAGTGACCTTGATGAAAATGGAGCTGACCTTAACAAATAGAATTAGGCGCACAGGAATAACGTGATGTGATGTTATAGAGATATAAATAATTGACATTATTGAAGAATATTTAAAGTATCACAGCTTAAACTGTTAGGATTTCAAAATCTATATGAATATTCAACCATTAATATGATTTAAAGCTAATAATTGACAACAAACTTTTATGGTCTGAACTGACTCATTGCCACTTTAAGCTATATTGTCAGAGTTATCTGACAGTTTAAAAACTTCAACCATTTTTGTTGAAAAGTTAACTTCTGCTTTTAAAAAAAAAATGAAAATAATAGAAATCTTTGTGTATCATTTTCATAATAGATTTAGTTTACCTCCATATTCATTTCCATGTTTATAAACAGGGTTGTATAAAAACAACAATTAACAAAATGATATTCGTAGTTCTTACACTAAAAAATTCAGTTGATTAAAGAAAGTGTATTTTCCATGCCTTATTTTGAGTGTCATTTAAATTGACTAACAGATATATGTTTCAGGGAGGGGTGTTGGGAGGCCGAATGGTTCACGTGTGGACGTTGGATCACAAGGTCTGTCATTGAGTCAAGTGGTGTCGTTTCGATTCCTCGCTTGTACGTGACAAGGAGTAGGGTCGCCTGTCCAACCTCATGGGTTTTCTCCAAGTTCTCAGGTTTCCTCCCACTGCTAAAAGACCCATCCGTACGCGCAAGCGAATTATTGAGTTAAAATTGAACCATATGTTAGTCCCAAAATGACCTGGTTTGTGTCCAATAGATGTTATACCCAATTTCTCTGTATATATTTTCAGCCTGTCAGTTTCAGTCGGGACTAACAAATATAGCTGAAACTATAGCTCTGATCTGAACGTCCAATATGATGTTCTCTTCTTTCAGGCCGATTGGTCTCCACATTAAAATTCATCTTTCGTGATTTCTGCCTTAGATTTAATAATATATTATTATAGATTTAGATAAAGAGCTGAAATTTATTGCTATAATTTTGTTCTCTGCAGTAAAATTCATCTTTCGTGATTTCTGCGTTAAATTTAAAGATATATTATGTAAGATTTAGAAAAAGAGCTGACATTTCTTGCTATAGTAGTTCAAAAATAGATAATGGAAAATGTATACATTGAAAATTCCATTCAAATTACCTTTTTCTAAACAAAGATATTAGTGTTGGAAGGTTTGGCAAGATCTAGCATAGATTGTTTATTATCGTAGTAACACTACTTAACAATCAAGTCTAAATCTCAATTATCCATTTAATCGTTAAACTTTTAAATCAAGCGGGTTTTAAATCAAGAGAGTTGATTATAGGCATGTCCTTTGAATAAATGTCTAAATAATAGTTTATATAACATTTAAAGACCTGCAATACGAAGATATAGCTCTTACATAATGCATCTTTAAGAAATTAAGGGGAGAGTTACCTAACCTTACCTTTCCCACCTTCTCTGACTCAACAGGACTAAAAATAGATTTTCTGTTCAAATATCGAATTGGGAGAGAAGAGGATTGAAATGCACAGACTGGCTGTTGTTTAAAACACTGCACTATCGTTCTTATATCTGCCATCTATGCAGTCATGATTGTCATCCCATGATCAGTAGTTTTCCTGCATGGGTTTTACGCAGGACAAATTACTTAATATTGAGATGTTGAACCTCATTTCATTTTGAATATGATCGTATCTCGTAGTCTTTATCAGTTAGGATCCTAGTCAAGGCATCACAAAACATCACTCAAGTAATGCACAGTAATAAAATTCCCTAGAATTATGTTCTGGGTAATAGTTTCAAAGGTTTTCTGTAGGCCCTGCTGTATTTGTTCGTATGAGAATTGAACAAAGATTCTTCATCATATGTTAGTCCCAGAAAAACCTTATTGAGTGGACAGTAATAGGCTGATACAGGCTATGGAGGGTTAAGCAAATCACTGAATTTCTTAGTTACTAGAATGTCATCAATGCTGTCATGAGTTCAAATTCATGATTGTACAAGACATATCTCTCACAGATTTATCATATGTTAGTCTCAAAAATGTTATAAATTTCATTTTAAATTACGCTGAATAAAATCAACAGTATTAAAAAAATAAATGTTTCAATTTCTTCCAAAATCTACATGTCCAAATCTACTGCCAAATTTTTTTGAGAATTTTGAATGTTTAAAAATAAATTGTACGAATCCTTGCAGCAAAAACTGAAATACAAAGTTTTGAATAACAACAAAATTGTAAATCTGCTGTTATGTTTTAGTTAGACCTTTTATTATTTTTTAAATAGTTGTAAAATTTTATTTCCATTTTCAATTCAATGAAATTTACCATAAATTTATTATGGCAGTGAATACACCTAAAACCTTGTGACCCAGAAAGGGTTTCTGAAACGTTCCAAGAGAATGGATTTAGGAGAAACCCGAACCTGTTGACACACGAGAAAATTCTTCGCTTGATTATGCGGACAATTGGATGTATTAAATTTTGTTGATTGTTACCATGGTTTTTTTTCTTACTGTGAGAAAAATAAAAAAAGGGTATATATATATACGTACAAGAAACTTCGACTTCAAATCATATGGAGTGATATTCTTATTCCATTGTAGAAAGGAAATACTACGGACGATGTGATTGGTCATAAGGATAATGTAATATATATATATTATATTATATATATATAGCCAAGTATTTATTGTTACTACCGTGTTTGTTAATATATATAAATACAAATATTATATATATATATATAGGCCTATATGTGTTAATGTGATGTTTGACCTGTTGACCTCTGGGGTTAATCAGATTTGTATATTATAAATTCTCCAGTAGATTTTATTACCTCAAGGGACAAGTCATTGATTTTTCAGTGTTTTTAATTCTGTTAAGTTGTGTACAAAAAAAATGGGAGAATTCTGTGCGATGCTATGACCACCGGAGACACTTTATTTGACGATATATTTACACGCATGTGGATAATCTATACATATGTACATATATGGATATGAGAAATAACTGATCTAGCTGATATTAACCGTGAAACTATTTGTGAAAGTTCTAACATGTATTTTATAAAGCATTTGATGTTAATACATGTACATAGGATCCGTATATATATATATACAAAACACACTGTGAGAATGATACAACATTAAAAACTTGGATTAAAATGAATTCCGCCAAGCCAGAAGTTGGCAGACCAAGGGAGATTACTCTTGTATTATCTGCCATGATCTGCATGTACTGTGTAAACGTTAGTCAGGATTTCAATATTTATATATACATGTGATTCTGTGCGAGACTGAAAATATGTTCAATGAAATATCAGCAGTTTTGGATTTAATTTATTTCATTTTTATTTTATTTTTGTTTATAGCCAATGGCTCAGCCTCTTACAACCAACATTGTACCGTGGTGTAATATAAGCCTTACACACACCAAACAGTTAATCTGATTAGTCAAGTGTCTCAATACGTTTTAAATTAGAAGTAGGTTGCCCCACATCTTGAGAAAAAACCTACCTGATTCCCTCTCCTCATACCGGGGGGTTGGATGGCCGAATGGTTAGCATGTGCGTGCTTTATCATAAGGCCTGTCATTGAGTCAACTGGCGTGGTTTCGAATCCCCGGTTGTACGTGACAAGGATTAGGGACGCCTGTCCAGCCTCTTGGGTTTTCTCCGGGTCCTCCGGTTTCCTCCCACTGCTAAAGACCCCTACGCGCAAGCGAATTATTGAAATAAAATTAAAAACCATATGTTAGTCCCAAAATGACCTAGTTTGTGTCAAGTGGACGTTAAACCCCATTTCTCTCTCTCTCTCTCTCTCCTCATACCTGTAGGTCATCAACAACCTATATACTGTCAATTGATCATACCTGTTGGTCAACAACCTATACTATCAATCATACCTATAGGTCAACAACCTATACTGTCAATCAATCATACCTGTTGGACAACAACCTATACTGTCAATCCATCATACCTATAGGTCAACATCAATATATACTGTCAATTGGTCATACCTGTAGGTCAACAACCTATACTGTCAATCAATCATACCTACAGGTCATACATGTAGGCCATTAACAACCTATACTATCAATCTATCATACCTATAAGTTTCAAAATTTTGGTAGTAAAAGCTCATAAACTCAGTCAATTGATGTTCGCAATGTTACAAAATTGGGTGTTAGATGTTTGAAATTTAATCAGAACAATCAAACGGTTAATACATGGAACTGTGTATAAAAATGA